AAAATGAGACTCCACTCCGACAGCCGAGCTTGACCCCACAGGACTAGACATGTGTTTCTCGTCCTCTCCCTGCTGTTTATTCCTATCCAGGTCAGCCCTTACATCTGGATGTAAGAGTTTTGAGAGACACTCACAGATAACAGTCTTTCCAAACAGGGTCAAGAAACTGCTCCATAGCCGGATGCCAAGAACCAACCCAAACTACATCCAGGGACCATTCCTATATCTGATATCCCATCTAAATGTTATGTCCCCTGTACTTGCTTCCTCTCGCCCAGATACAAGAGTACTGGTCCTTTCAGATACATATGCTAAGGTTCGCGGACCAACCACTTCTTCTACCAACATTGCAAGACACCCGTTTCTACACATGGAGCCCGTGAGATTCCAGCCGTGGTGCTTCAGAACCGACAGATGCCAGGTGTCCTGACAGCCAAAGAAGATGGTCTTCGCCAACACCCCCAAGAAATACCGTTTTGGGAAACGATCACCAGTTGCTGTCCACAGAAGAGCCTGGTACACACATCCACAGAATGGGCCCCGATGGTGGAAAAAACCAGCTCCTCCCGCAACGGACTACGCCCCTACACAGCAGGAAGTAGTTTAAGAGAGACACGACGCCTGATCCCCCTTTCACCATCGGCTTCCCCTCTCCTTTTTTTTCTTTTTTATAATAAGAAAAAGTGGGGTATGTTAGTATAAGTCTGAACCTGGTGATGTCATATTCAGGGGCCTGCGACTCCTACGTTGCTGGGACAACCACTCCCAGAATTCACCTACCTGACTCGCCTACACCTGGGAAATTATACACGTCATCACCCACTTAAATAGTTGGGACCACCCCCAACCTCTCTCTCTCTTCGTCTTCTCTTCACTCGCCATCTTCCCGTTCCTCTCTCCCACTCCCTTCCCCAAATAAACCCCTTCCCTTGGAACCGGATCGGATCGGCTTTGGTGTTGTCTGTCCAAACTGCACTCGAATCCTAACAGGTAGACTCTTCCATAACTATCATTTATTAGGAAAAGTTCCCAAAGACTTACCCACTACATACAGGTCGATGTGATGGCGGATATTTTCTCAATTGAAGTTGTCTTTCCCCAGATTAACACTGGCTTGCGTCAGGTTAAGAAAAAACAGAAAATAAAAAAGCTAACCAGCAAACAATTGAGCTAAATTCAAGATTTGAAAGGAAAGTCAGCAAGAAAAAATAAGTCAGGGGGCCTATAAGGTGGGTAAAGACAATTGCTGCCAAGCCGAACACATTGAATTCAGTCCCTGGACCTACATGATATAAAGAACGGACTCCTGTAAATTGTCCTCTAACCTGAACACATGTGGTATGATATGCATGCTCATGAGTACAGAATACATATAATAATTTAATGTATTTTTACAAAGTCAGTAATATGAATGAAAAAGTCAAAATGGTGGAAGAAGATTCAGCAACAAATTGAGATATTTACAAAATACAAATGTTGGAGATAAACTCAGTGGGGGCTGAAGAGATGTCTCAGTAGTTAAGAATACTCACTGCACCAGGTATGCTGGTATTCACATTTAATCCCAGCACTCAGGATGCAGAGGTAGATGGATCTCTGTGTTTGAGGCCAGCCTGGTCTACAGAGACAGTCGGGGCCACACAGAGAAAAACAAAGAAACAAAACGAACACAAAGCAAAAGAGCATTCACTGCTCTTACAGAGGGCCCAGGTTCAATATTTAGCACCCACATGATGTTTTTCACAGCCCCCTGAAACTCTTGCTTCAAGAGATAAGTGGTGCTCTTCTAGAGCTTCCTCAGGTACCTCATTCATATTCACAGTAGTGGCATATGCCTTTAATCCCAGTGGGAGGCAGACTCAAGCGGAAATATCTGAGTTCAAGGCTAACCTAGTATACAGAGCAAGTTCCAGGACAGCCAGGACTACACAGAGAAACTGTCTTTTTAAAAAAATCAATGAATGAATGAATGAATGAATGAAGCAATGCTGGAGGTATCGCAATTTCTGATTTCAAATTATATTACAGAGCCACAGTAAGAAAAATAGCATGAACACTAATAGACATATAGACCAATGGAATCAGATAAAGGACTACAAAATAAACCCACACTGAGACCACCTAGTAGTTTTCTACAAACCTGTCCAAAAAAAAAAGCCGGGCGGTGGTGGCTCACACCTTTAATCCCAGCACTTGGGAGGCAGAGGCAGAGGCAGGCGGATTTCTGAGTTCAAGGCCAGCCTGGTCTACAGAGTGAGTTCCAGGACAGCCAGGGCTATACAGAGAAACCCTGTCTCGAAAAACAAACAAACAAACAAACAAACAAAAAAGGTATAGGCCACAGATAAGGACTTTGCAAAGATTTCAGGAATGCAGGAATTGACTAGGGCATATATAAAATTTAAAAGCTTCTTCGCTGCAAAGAAAAAATTGTGCTGGGCAGTGGTGGTGCACGGCTCTAATCCCAGCACTTGGGAGGCAGAGACAGGCAGATTTCTGAGTTCAAGGCCAGCCTGGTCTACAGTTCAGGACAGCCAGGCCTATACAGAGAAACTCTGTCTCAAAAAAACAAAACAAAAAAAAAAAAAGAAAAAAATTGCTAGCATTATGAGGTTATCTACATTATGAGAAAAGTATCTACCAACTAAACATTGTATTGGGGTTCATATCTGGGATTTATGAAAATGGCAAAAATTAAATACCAAAAAATCCAAAGTAAACCTATCAGTATATAGGCTAATAAACTGAAGTACTAGTAATAAAAGAGAAAATAAATGGTCAGTAAATATTTGCAAATGTGTTCAATGTCCTGAATTAGCAAGAAAATTCAATTTGTTGGGAGTGGTGGTACACAACTCTAATCCCTATACTCTGGAGGCAAAGACAGAGGCAGAAAGATATTTGAATTATTGGTTTAAAGGCTAGTCTGGTCCACATACCAAATTCTAGGTCAGCCAGAACAACATAGTAAGACTCTATCTGAAAGAAAAAAGAAAGAAAGAAAGGAAGAAAGAAAGAACAATTAAAGCTACTTTGAAATTTTATCTAAGAATAATTATTTGTTAAGAAAGCTAGAAAAAAATGACTAGCAGCTACGATTACTAGTAGAGTAGCTACTCCAGATGACCAGTGTTCAAATCTCAGAACCAACATAGCTATTTAAAACCAACTGATGCCCTCTTCTGGCCTTTGAGGGCACCAGGCATGAATCATAGACATATGCAGGCAAAACAGCCATATACATAAAAATAAATTAAGTTTCCTTTTCAAAAAAAGAGACATGACAAAAAATCCTGACAAAGATTCAGGGAAAGAAGAATCTTTGTGCCTGCTAGAGGGAATATAGACAGGTACAACCACTGTACAAATCACTATGAGAGTTCCTCAAAACCCTAAGACCCAGTGACACCACTCTTTGGTATATATTTAATCAGCTCTAAGCCAACATACCACAGAGATACTTATATATCCATGTTGATTATTGCACTATTCAAAATAGCCAGGACAGGCTGGAGAGATGGCTCAGTGGTTAAGAGCACTGACTGCTCTTCCAGCGGTCCTGAGTTCAATTCCCAGCAACCACATGGTGGCTCACAACCATCTGTAATAGGGTCTGATGCCCTCTTCTGGTGTGTCTGAAGAGAGTAATGGTGAATACATAAAATTAAAAAAAAAAAAAAAAAGGCTGGGCGGTGGTGGCGCACGCCTTTAATCCCAGCACTTGGGAGGCAGAGGCAGGCAGATTTCTGAGTTCGAGGCCAGCCTGGTCTACAGAGTGAGTTCCAGGACAGCCAAGGCTACACAGAGAAACCCTGTCTCGAAAACAAACAAACAAACAAAAATAAATAAGTAAAAAATAAAAAGAAAGAAAGAAAAGAAAAAGCTTTAAATATAAAAAATTTTTTAAAAAATCAAAATAGCCAGGACACAGAGCAGCCTAGATATCCATCAACATATGGATACACTAATTGTGGTACATATACACAATGGAGTTTGAGGCAGACATGACATGTCGACCCTCTGAACATTATGTTAAGAAAAATAAACCAGACTAACAAGAACAAATACTTCTTTGTGGAACATAGATTTAAGACTCTCTCCCCGTGCCATGCAAATGCACTTACACGTCGGTGTTTGTAAACCAGAAAACTAGAAAAGGACTGTTAGAGAGAAAGAAGAGACTTTTAAGGTTTGTGGGAAATAGGGCGATCAAATGCCTGTGATAAGAAACCAAAGCTGGAAGCATTTGAGGGAAGGAAAGCTGCTAGCCAGCAAGGGCTGAGGCGGCATGGACAGAGGGCGATGGTAGCAGAGAAAGGATAATAACCAGGTATAATGGCACATGTGGGAAGAGGCCATAGTGAAACCTACCGTTCTGTATTTTAACTTTACAAATTAGTTTAGGGACTGGAGGGGATAAGCAATTAAGAACTCCTTCAGAGTACCCAAGTCCAGTCCATGGCACCCATGTTGGATACTAGCACAGATGTGCATGTTTCCCCACACAACCATTCACAGAGACATGTAAGTAAAAGTAAAATATGAAGCTTCTAAGGTGTTACATAATTCACTTCTCTGCCACTAGATGGCGTGTTGTGAGAAAAAACTAAAATTAGGATTAGCAAGATATCCTATTACACTGAAGATTTTCTTTTAATTTATGTGTATATATGCATGCTTGCATGAGTTTGTGTGCAGCACATGAGTGCAAGTATCCTTGGAGGCCAGGAGGAGACATCAAAGCCAATAGAACTGGAGTTATAGGTCTGCCATGTAGAACCAAACCTGGACCCTCGGCAAAAGCAGTCAGTGCTCTTAACCGCTGAGTCACCTCTCCGGCCCCAGTGACTTGAGGCTTTAGATAAAAGACCTCACTAGAAAGAGTTAAGTAGACTTCAAAGAGGAAAGAAAAACACACATTTATGAATCCTGAATGAAGAATGTTCCAAACAGGAGCAATACCAACTCCCTAAGGTGAGACTACACCTCCCAGTTTAACAGCAAGAGTCTGAAAAACTTGGAGCCAGACCATGGCCGAGGACTCTCTGGGCCCTGAGATCACCAACTTTAAGAGGTCAGATAAAGCCATCAAGAGACTGAGGTAAACATTTGAGTGATAAGTAAGAAAATAGGTGGGGGAGGGGGGAGGAGAGAGAGAGAGAGAGAGAGAGAGAGAGAGAGAGAGAGAGAGAGAAAGTGTGTCAAGAGTGAAAGTTTGTCTGATACTGCTGAGAGGGTTAGACGGGCGAGAGCCATGAATGACTTTGGTGACGTGAGCAAACCAGGAGCGGTGGCATGACTGGGAGCGAAGTTGGTACTGCTCTAGGACAGACATGTTCAAAGGGCAGAGGCCAGGTGAATATGCTCAAGACCGCAGAGGTTACTTTCCTTAAGTGTGGTGTCCTGTCTCCCAGAATGCATGTGTTTCCTAGTCTTTCTGAGCCTAATTCAACAGCCTTCCATACACTCAACAAAATGTGTTTGAGCCTTGCCATTGCCATCAGAATGACCACGGCACTGCATTTATCCAATTAGTTCCTCTCTGTGACAGTTGAGAGTGTATCATTGCATTTCTGTGGACGAGTCAGTCTTTCCGTGTAATGTGTGTAATGTCTCCAAGAGATAAACTGGGCCGCGGGAGAAACAACTCACTAGCTAGTTCCATGGTTTGGGGAAGCACTGCTGTGAGAAATGCTTTTTTTTTTTTTTTTTTTGGTTTTTCGAGACAGGGTTTCTCTGTGTAGCCCTGGCTGTCCTGAAACTCACTCTGTAGACCAGGCTGGCCTCGAACTCAGAAATCCACCTGCCTCTGCCTCCCAAGTGCTGGGTTAAAGGCGTGCGCCACCACTGCCCGGCTAGGCCTTTATTTCTTATAGAAATGACTTTTGTGTGAAGCCATGAGAAGAGAGAAGAGAGAAGTAACTTCATTGAATGTGTCCAGTAAATTCACTGTGGCACCTGACAAGTGAAATTAGGATGCAGCTGCCTCCCAGCCTTGTTTCCTGTCATGAAAACACATGCACAGATCTTCAGAACCCTTCTATAGACGCACATTCTGTAAGTGCTGGCACTTGGCAGCTCAGAACTGATCTAAGAGCTGGGTCTGTCTGGTTCATACCACTTCTGACCAGTAAGAGGCACTGAGTCATTTCTTAGGCTTTTGCCTGGCTTTGTACTCTCTTGGATATTATATCCAGATTCTGACTATCCTTTTATTTTTCTATGTATTCAAAACCCTGCTTTTTTTTCCCAGACTAAGAGCCTCTACCGTTTAGTCAAAACGTAATTAACTTGAGTGTAATTAATTAGTAAAAGCTTTCTATAAACAGGGGATAAAAATACTTGGGGAGTCATTAAGAAACTGAACTTTGTGGAACCTAGAGTGATAACCTCTCTCCCTCTCCCTCTCTCACTCCCCCCTCCCTCCTCCTCCTCTCCCTTTCCCCTTCCCTCTCCCTCTGTCTTGCTCTCCACCTCTCTGTTCCTCCTTCTCCCTACTCTTCTCTTGTTAGCCTAGTCTCGCCTTGAATTTGTGTGCCTCTCAGCTGGCCTTTTAATTGAAATCTGCTTTCCTTAATCTCAGTTCTAGGATAAGTGTGAGCTACCACACCCAGCTCCGGCTCATAGATAGGGAAGCTACTTAAGAGTCTTTATGCCTCAATCCTTCCTTTCTTAGAGGAATAATGCTAATGGGTTAAGTGCTTTGCAGATAATCAGTCATCTGACCTTCACAATGACCACATGAGAGAAGTACTATAGTCTTACAGAAGGCAAAGAACGGGTGTTAAATTATCTGCCCAATCACAAACCCTTCGAAGCAAACCAGGATCTGATCCCAGGTAAGGTAACTCAAGATCAAGTGCTTGGCGTGGCAATGGTGTGCCCTTGACTATCATAAAAGGTCTTACTCTGCACTGTTCAATCCCCAAGTCAGAATAACTTTAGCATTTTAAAAATGCAATCCCCTCTCATACAATACACCCCGTCCTCAGCCTCCCCTTCCTCCACTCCTCACAGACCCCTCCCTGCTTCCACTCTTGCTCAGGACCACTCTTGTACAGATCTTGTCTACTAGGACTTAAGGACAGGAAAGAATGACAGGTTACAGTCTCCTGCTATAGACAACCTGACTTCAGTTTCAGAGTACTTTTATACACACATGTAATAAAGAAAGCAGTAAGCCAAGGACCATTGTTTGAATTAGAAAAACATGATCAGAGTATACTGACCAGATTGGGTTCTATAACTATGTTTTGACATCAAACAAGAACAAATATGTCTTATAAATTGAATGTAAATGTTTGTCACAGGAGTCATGAAATCATGTCCAGGGACAATCCAGGGAACAAAAATCTCACTTGAGGTAAAAAGGCCCTCTGCCTTTTTATCTGGAACCTCTCTCACAATTCCCTAAGGCATTGTTCACCCTGAGTCACTCATCTGACCATGTTTGGACACTTCTTCTCCGTTTTCCTTTAAAAAAGAGCAGGCTCCTCAGTGATACCGAACAAATAAAGCATAGTAAGATACATTTAAGACTAGACACAAGCCCATATATCAAGGCTGGACAAGGCAACTCACAAGCATCCCAAACACCCTTGTTGTAGTAAATATTATTTGGGGGTTTCTACCCCATCTTTGATCATTTAGTTCCCAAATAAAAGACACAAGATCTTTATATTCATAACGAGACTTAAAAGCATGAGAGCTGAGCATGGTCACTCCTGCTGCAGCTGGCTGGCCCTCGTGGCCATTTTCTCATGAGCTACCTATCCCATGCCATCTTCTTTCTTTTTCTCCTCTTGCCTCTCCTCCTCATGGTCTCTGTTTCAGACCCTGAGCCCAGAAACCAGAACTCCAGTCTACCTCTCTTCTGCCCAGCTACTGGCTGTAGGCATCTTTATTCAATCAATAGTTTTAAATTAAGGAGCAAGGGTTACATAGCATCACTAGGTGTATGTGAGAATTTCCTCATCCCTGAGGATCTGCCTCTTCATCAGAGGCAATCAGATCTTTTGGGGCCAGTATTTAACATTATAATACATAACAACAGACCCAACCTCAACACACCTCAAGCTAAACAAACACAGCGTGTATGCAGAGGACCTATGGAAGATCCATGTGGGCTCCATGATTGTGACTTCAGACTCTGAGCCCTCCTTAGTTGATTGTGTGGACAGTGTTCTCCTGGTATCCTAAACACCTCTGGCTCCTACAACTCTTGCTCCCCCTCTTCTGCAGGTTTCCTGAGTTCCATCTAGTGTTTGGCTGTGGGACTCTGTATCTACTTCCGTCAGCTGTTGGAAGAAGTCTCTCTGATGTCAATTAGTCTAGGCATCTATCCATGAATATAGCAGAATATCCTTAGGAATCATTTCAGTGACTTTTTTTTCCAGTTGTGTTTGATTCTACCCTAGGTCTCTGAGACCAGCTCTGGTTGCTGGCCATCCAGGCGGTGTCAGGGATGGAATTCCTCTCTGGACTTGGGTCTCAAGTTAGACCAGTCATTGATTGGCCACTTCTATAATAAGTTCTGAGACACCATTTCTCCAGCATATTCTGAAGATAGGACAGGCATAAGAAAAGGTTTTGTGGCTGGGTTAGTAATTTAACTCCACCACTAGGAGACTGATCAGGTTACCAAAGATAGCCAGTTTATGCTTCATATCCCCCAAAACTAGGAGTCTTCAATAGAGTCAGCCTCTTAGATTCCAGGAAGTTTCCACCACACTAGGTTTCCACATTGCCTCCTAAATTTCCACCGCTTATTCCAGTCATCGCTCCCTGAACTCTGACCCTTTATTTCCCCCTACCCCCTGCCCACCTGATCCCTCCAGGTCCCATCTCCACCCAACTCCAGTCCACTCAAAAGATCTATTCTATTTCTCCTTCCCAGGGAGATCCATCCCACCTATTACCCTCTCAAGATCTTTTTGTTACTTAGTCTCTCTGGGCCTATAGATTGTAATGTGATTATCCTTAACAGCTATTATCTACTAACAAGTAAAGACATACCATGTTTGATCTTCTGGATATGGGTTTCCTCCCTCAGTATAATTTTTTTCTAGTTCCATCAACTTGACTGCAAATTTCTTTTTTTTTTCTTTTTTTCTTTTCTTTCTTTCTTTTTTTTTTTTTTGGTTTGGTTTTTTGAGACAGGGTTTCTCTGTATAGTCCTGGCTGTCCTGGAACTCACTTTGTAGATCAGGCTGGGCTCAAACTCAGAAATCCACCTGCCTCTGCCTCCCAAGTGCTGGGCTTAAAGGCGTGCGCCACCACCGCCCGGCAACTGCAAATTTCATGATATCATTTTTTTCTAGCTGCTGAGTAATACTCCACTGTGTAAATGTACCACATTTTCTTCATCCATTCTTTGGTTGAAGAACACTTAAGTTGTTTTCAGTTTCTAACTATTATGAACATAGTTGAGCAAGTGTCCTTGTGGTAGGATGGAGTAACTGTTGGGTATGTGTTCAGGAGTAGCATAACTAGGTCTTAGGTAGATCAATTCCCAGTTTTCTTAGCAACGGCCATATTGATTTCCAAAGTAGCTGAACAGGTTTGCACTCCCACCAGTAATGAAGAAGTGTTCTCCTTGGTTCTCATCCTCACCAGCAGGAGTTATAACTTGTGTTTTTGATCTTAGCAATTCTGACAGGTGTATGATAAAAATCTCAGAATCATTTTGATTTGCCTTTCCCTGATTGATTAAAAATGTTGACCATTTCTTTCTCAGCTCATTTGAGATTTCTCTGCAGAAAATTCTCTGTTTTGATCTGTACCCCATTTTTAATTGGGTTATTCTATTTGTTGACATCTAGTTTCTTGAGTTCTATATATACTTTGGATATTAGCCCTGTGTCAAATGTGGAGTTGGTAAAATCTTTTTCCATCCTGTAGGCTGCCATTTTGTCTTCTTGATGATATCCTTTGCTTTACAGAAGCTTTTCTGTTTCATTAGGTCCCATGAAGTAGAAATTTCTGGTTATGTCATATGATACAGGCTCACATGATGTTTTGCTGAGGCAAGACCCATGAGAAGACGTGGTGTTGAGAGAGACTATAACTGGGACTCAACAGACAGTGATGACATGCTTGCAT